TTTGTGTCGGCACTTTGATCTTTTTTTCTTAGGGGTTAAAATTTTACTGACCTCATCCGTAGGGGGGGGGGGTGGATTTTAAATGGAATGGCCCTTAGCCAGTTACACCCTTGTTGTTTATTATTAACATATTAAGGTTTAAACATTAACTTATTAACTTTGACATAAAATAAGAGACATTCAACAACAAATGCATATCAAATTTATTAAAGCATTGAAATAATACAGTACAATACCTTGTCGACAAGACATTCAAATGTAGCGCCTACATACACCGAATTCTTTCCTTCATAAACACTTTCACACAGCAATCCTGCAGACTTGAAGCAATCTATTAACTTTGCACTAAGTTTGGGTGAACAATTCTCTGTAAATGTAATAGAATACTCCATCATCTCAGCTCAAAAACACTTTAAATTTAGATTAATTTGTATTTGTTCTCGTATTTATTCTTGTATTTTTTTCCTAATTGGAAGTGAAGCCCCAAATTCAGGTTTGACATCGGACCTGCGAGCAGGCATAAATATTAATTTGGAAAACATTTGGCGGGAAAATTTTCCAAAATTATTTTCGATGGCATCTACCTGTGGACACTTTGAAAAAAGAAGCTTACCCGACTCCTTAAGTTATTAATTTTATAACATTTAAAACTAGTTTCACTCTTGCTGTTGAGCTAATTTAAACCTATCAGGGAATACTGCGAAAATCTCTTTGCAATAATGGTCAATGTGTAGCTAAATATGGGCTCCTAAATTATGGGTTGCTTTGGGTTGCTAAATTTAATACATGCTGATGTACTTATATTGTAGATGTACTTACAATAATTGCAAAAAAGACAATTTCACAAGCAAATTTGCCAAATTTCGCAAGTAAAAATTAAAGTAGAAAGTCCAAGAAATACCCAGAGGAGGTTGGACAGCTAATTAGCGAGTTGTCACGTGAGCTCTCGACCAATGAGATCGCTCTATTTTCCATCGTGTTGGCGAATAATTTTGGCCTTCTAATTTGCATTGGACACAGAAGAACTCAAAAAATATATATAAATATTCATATTTTTTTATCAAAATGCAACCATGGCCTTAGTATTATAAAAGGACTGGCGATATGTGCAAGAATTTCTGAGGTAAGCGTTATTTTTTAACCTGTTTTCGATGATTAAAGTTGGTCATGCCTTGGCAACGTGATGACTCAAGTCCGAGTCTGTTTACAATTTTCAAACTAAAAAATCTGGAATTCCCATGGTTCGATTTTCGTAATTTTTGCAAAAAAATCAAGACAAATGTCTAAACTAAAAATCTGCTGGAGGGATCCCCGGGATCCCCCGGCAGTTTTCGAGATATTTGGCATTGAAGTGACCATACTCAATTCAACCTTTGCCAAAATGGCGTCTAATATCTGGGGAAGATATTGCGCCACCAAAGCTTGATTTTCACAATGAATTTTGAAAGTCCCCCAATATTAGGATCAGTTTTCTTTACAGTAAGTGTTAAATTACTTTTGAAAGACTATTTAGAAGACTTAGGAGTTATTTGCCTGTTTTTACAGATTTTATATCTGGGCTGGTATTACTAGCCTGCATGCCCATCTCCTTGACATGCATGCCTATCTCCTTGGCAAGTGAAATTGTCTGGTGATAGAGACGATTTTAAAAGAACAGCACATTATAAAGTGATCAGATTTTCTCTCAGTGAAAAATTCTATGTTCCTTTTTAATTACAGCAGTTCAGATATCGATATAGAATTGAAAAAGGGCTTCTTCCTGAATATCCAAGGGCAGGGCCAACTGATGATGTTGAAGAATGAAGACATTTTAGCATGGATTACTAGTATAGATTATAGTATCTCTTGTCCTTTATGATGTCTTTCTGAAAGTTATTGGTGAATACAAATTGAGCTGTGATCCCTCAACGTGGCCAACAACATGCTCCACCAAATACCTGAGCACAATATAGAAAGTGCACATAG